TAGTAGTGAATACCACACTCTACGGTACTAATAGTAGTAGTACTACTAGTATTACTCTAGAATACTAGCTTACCAAGTAACCTTAACCTCTGATTTCAGGTACAGTTTTCGGTATTTTAAAAAATACCGAAAACAGTACGTTTTAACTTATTAAAGTGTTAAAACTTCGGGAATGGCTTCAAAGTTTGAATCTCGCTCTAACGACACCTCTGAACAAAAGAGAAATCCCGATCAAGAGTTTGCTTGAAGCGCGACGCTGCCATGAACGAAGAGGACGAATTCGGTATGAGCAAGACGACGCGGGACGCTGACCCGATGGAGCAGGAAAACAAAAGCGCCGTGAAAGATCACCCAGACTTTAACTTCCTTGACGCAGATGAGATCCGCGCGGCTGTGACGTCGGAAGACAAGCGCTCCGTGCCTCTGTGGATGACGCGCATGCCTGTGGAGAAAGATCCGAGCCAGTGGACGATCCTAGAGGTACAAATCCGGCCTGACCGCTCGTGGGAAGTCATTAAAGAGCTGATCGCCACTGTCTGCATCGGCAAAGGTCTCTTGGTCACCGAGGAGCACCCCAACTCGGTGCTCTTCCGCAAAAAAGTAACCCAGGAATCAATGGCCCGCGGCATGGCCAACTCTGCTACATTCCTCAACGTTTATGTGCACAATGGTGTGTCTCCGTCCAAGTTGCGGGTGGTGGACATCTGCACGTTGGTGTCAGACGAGAACAAGCTACTTGGTGGCATGGTATCAACGAGGAAAAATGCGTTGTGGGCGGCGCAAGACCACAACCAGCCACACAAGTATACGCTGGATCAGTTGCTTGGAGCATTGCAGGTGACACTGCTTAGTCAGTGTCTTTCACTAAGCCATTTATACATGGCCTCTCCTGAAAACTCGATGGATTCCGGTACCTTTCGAAGTTGAAATCATTAGTGACGATAGTGAGTTTGCTAACTATGATTCTCTGAAATAAATCTGGATACTTGCAGTGGAGAACGCAGAGCTGGATGAAGGATACGTTGAAGACTTGAAGAGAGCGTTCAGCAGGTGGAGTGTGTTACTGATATATGCTAAATGGAGTTGCTTCATATTGATATAACTGCTACTATTGCCTATTAGTGAGATGAAGGCAAACATGAGAGATCTGTGCATTCCTTTGGAATCGTACGCGTACGACCAAGAATTTGCTTGTGCGTTGCTGATTGGACTTCTTGAGCCGTCCCTTAAGAAATACGGGATCAAGCTGACAGATACACCTACAGAGGCTACAGAGGCTAAAGACGTCAAAGAAGAAGTGAGCGCAGCGACTGTCAGCATTGAAGGTCATTCAATAAACGAGGACGAGCCGGCACTGAATGAGGAGAAGGTCTCACCTCCTCATGAGCCAGAAACTCTTAACACTTCTCCTTCACCGAACGAAGCCGCTGCTAGTGATCCGAGCAAACTTTATGGCGAAGTGGTTTCAGAGCTGGTGCAAAATCTTTGGCGGGTATGCAAGGAGGATTGTGAGGTAAGACTACGAGCCAAAATTGACGAGAAACAACAGCAAGTCACTGCACGGGTGGAGGCTGTGCAAAGTTTGCGAACTCGGGCGATTCGAGCAATCATGGAAGCGTACGTTTGTGTCTTCATCAACTACTGGAAGAAAAGGCTAAAGAACTGATGTTGCAAACTTGACAGAGATGGTGCTCAAATGTCAAGCCTCAACCAGTCACCGGCAGATGACAGGTATGTTGCTAAGTTGGTGTTGTGGTATGGGAAAGTTGAGAAATAACGCTGGATATGGGTCGGCTTTGATTGTAGATCCAACGTGCTTCTATACGAGGCGCCGTGCATGGTCAACGGGATTCCTGTCACATTGCATGTGACGTATGGGTAGGGCTGCTTTTATTTGCTTTCCAGACATGAGTGTTGTATTAACTTTTTGAATTTCGCAGGAACTTAATTTATCGGACCATGGTGCCCGTGTTCGCGCACACCACCGTGGTTCCGTTCGAAGATGTCGTGAATGTTGTCCAGACTACCTCGTTTGGCATTCAGGTGGTGTCCATGGAGCTGGATTCATCAAAGCATGGCAAGGGGATCACAATCGCCATGGGACTTGAAGTTGATTTGCTCTATCAGCTCTTGCACGAGGTGAACTTGAGTTTTCTTGCATCATGTCGCTCGCTTGTTCACTCACCAACCTTTTTTT